AAACATTGTTCTCATTGCCTCAGAGCAATCTGTGTATTGTTAGTGGTGGTGGTAGATATCAAATATGACTCATAATGACCCTTTGAGCAATACATCTGAACCCTGTCCTGTCTTGTACCATCCTCATCATCTCTGACACACTTGAGCCCATTGCCACGGTCACTATGTCAGTCTGTCTTGTTAAGAGGCTTTCTTTCTTTTGCTGATCCTCCACTTTTCCAAGCATGATGTCTCTCTCCAAGGAATAGCGTCACCTAACAACATGCCTTACTGATAATCTGAACTTGATTCCGTAATTCTTAGCTGTCAGCACATTTTAAGATTTCTCTCGTAATAGTTCCCAACTTGAGGTATCAAAATTCACAATTGACTTAAAACAGGTATACAAATTTATTAGGTAAAAAACCCCTTTATTAGCTCACATAGTATCTGTGGTTTAGAAATTTGGAAGTGGTTTAACTGGGTAGTTTTGGTTTGTTGGTCTTCTCTGTTATTACAGTCAAGTGGATGAAAATGTAATTTATTTTGCTTTGTAAACTGTCGATCAAAAAGGTTTGTTTTTTTTTAATTAATTTCAATGACCATCTACAGAGATTTTTTTATTTCCATTCATTCATTGTTGCACTTTTCCACAAAGTTTTTTAAAAACAATGAAAGCTGTTGCCCAAGGCTTCAGTTATCTAAAGGTTCCTGACAGATTCACTTTCTAAGATAGCTCATTGACCTGGATGGCAAGTTGGTGCTGCTGTTGAAAGGAAGCCTCTTACTTGCCACTCAGATGTCTTCATAATAGGACTGTTTGAGTGCACTTGCAATGTGGCTACTGGCATCCCATAACTGAGGGATCATAGGCAGCAAGACAGACACTGCAAGGTCTTTTATGACCCAGCCTTTAAAGTCAAACTCATTTTTATCAGAACGGGGTGGGGGGGGCAGTTGAAGATTAACTGGATGGTAATTCTTTCCCTGGCACAGAAAGATTGTTGTTGTTAGGTGCCATCAAATCAAGTATGACCCATGGTGACCCTGTAAACAACACATCTGAATCCTGTCCTATCCCATGCCTTCCTCATTTATCGCTGACATATTAGAGTCCATTGCTGTAGTGAGTATGTCAGTCCATCTGATTGAGGGTCTTCCTCTCTTTCACCAACATTCTACCTTTCCAAGCATGATGTCCCTCTCCAAGAAGTAGCTTTTCCTAACAACATGCCCCAAGTATGAGAGATAAAACTTTGTTATCCCGATTCCAAAGAGCACTCTGGCTGTACTTTGTCTAAAACATATTTCTTGGTTCTTTTGGCACACCATGATATAGTCATTATTCTTCTCTCCAACACCACACACAGCTCAAAGACATTGATTCTTCTTCTCTCATTTTTATTTATTGTCTAGCTCTCAGATTCATAGCAAGTGTTTGAAGAGACCATAGCCTGAATCAGGTGCACCTTAGTCCTCAAACTGACACCATTACTCCTCAATAATTTAGAGAGGTCCCTGATTGCAGACTTTCCCAGGGATATTTCTATCCCTAGCACAAAAAGAAAAATAATAGTAGTTGGCTTTCTGATCACTTCTGCTGAGTTTGCGCTCTTGTTTTGCAAATTCTGAGAGTTACTGTGAGTTGTGGGATGTCTCTTGATTTTGCTAGTGAGGAACTGAAGTCTGACTGGTGATGTATATGACAGAGATCTACTTCTCTGATTTCATGGTCTCTTTTGCCATGAGACCAGAAGAAACTGATGGTATCTGATTATCATTAGTGAACATTTTTTAAAAATTTTATTGTTTTTTTAATTTTGCTTTTCAAAGAGAGGAGCGAACTGGGGTGGGGAAGGGCTGGGCAGGGAGAAAAGTGCAACAATGAAGGAATGGAAATCCAAAGTCTCTGTAAATGCTCATTAAAATGAATAAAATTTTTTAAAAATTTATTGTTTTTTTTAATTAATGAAAGTTTACAGAGCCTTAGGATTTCCATTCATTCATTGTTGCACTTTTCTCCCTGCTCACCCCTCCCCCCAATTTGCTCTTCTGTTTGAAATGTAAAAGAAAAATTCTTTCATTGTTATATAATCCCTGCCCCCAAGTCCACTCCACTCTGCAGCCTTCATTCTACACTCCTGTCATGACCATAATACCTAATCATATATCACTTTAAAACAATTCTCTCCCTCATCTGTTTCAATGTAGTATACATTATTTATCCTGTTTCTCAGTCTCCCTCCCGCCAACCCCAATGTCAGTCCCATTTTACAACAGTGGCCCTATGCAATATTTGTCCTTTTGTGACTGAGATATTTCACTCAGCATAATGTCCTCCAGGGTCATCCAATATTTCATGAGTTCCTTGTTTTTCAATGCAGAGCTTCTCTAATAATTCATTTGTTGGGCAGTTGGGTTGTTTCCAACTCTTTGCTGTTGTGACCAAAGCTGCAGTAAACATGGGTGTGCATATATTTGCTTGGGTGGCAATTATGATTTCTTTAGGATAAATTCCCAGAAGTGGAATTGCTGGGTCAAATGGTATCTCTATTTGCAACTTTTTAAGAAAGCGCCATACACCCTTCCACAGTGGTTGCACTGTTTTACACTCCTACCAACAGTGAACAAAGGTTCCAGTTTCTCCTCAACCTCACCAGCATTTGATGTTTGCTGTTCTGTTAAATTTTGCTATTCTTTTTTTTTTTTTGTCAGTGTACCGTCAAATCAGATCTGACTGGTACAGGAGGAGATTGTCCCTCCTTCCCCGGCAGAGCATCTGGTGGATTCGAACCGTGCGCCTCTGGGATTGCAGTGCAGCTTCTTGCCACTAGGCCACCAGAGCTCCCCTTAAATTTCGCTATTCTTACTGGGGTGAAGAGACCATAGCCTGAATCAGATGCACCTTAGTCCATATTACTCCTCAATAATTTAGAGAGGTCCCTGACTGCAGACTTTCCCAGGGATATTTCTGTCCCAAGCACAAAAAATCATAGTAGTTGGCTTTCTGGTGGCTTCTGCTGAGCTTGCACTCTTATGTCGCAAATTCTGACAGAGTTACTGTGAGTTGTTTTGATAAATTTTGTTATTTTTTTTTATGTGTGTACCATCAAATTGGATCTGACTTGAACAGGAGGAGATTGCCCGTCCTTCTTAAGCAGAGCATCTGGTGGATTTGAACTGTGTACCTCTGGGATTGCATTGTAGCTTCTTGCCACTAGGCCACCAGAGATCCCTGAGTGAACATTTTTGTAAAAGATTCTATAAAAAAAAAAGTCCTGGACATATTGGGGAGGGGGTGTGTGTGCAAGAATGTAGAGCATAATTTCAGATTCTTATGAACTTAATGTTTTGTGAATTCCTAGAGACTGGATGAGCCCTGCAGTCATCTTTAAACCTGAAAACTCTCTGAAGTTTTAAAACTAAACAATTCTTTCACAAGTATAGTATGTTTGCTTTTTGAAGAAATGTCTGTGTGAATCAGGTTGATAGCAGGAATTGGACTATTATATAGGAAAGGCTATTGAACTCATATTAATGAGAGAACCACTTATCAGAAAAGGAAGATAAGATTACATAACTCCAAAAACATCAGTATACTTGTAAAAACCACTGAATTAGTGTATGTTTTACTGTGCATATTCTTAGTAAGAGCAACAACAAAATAAATTAAAAAATAAGTGATGTTGTGTGTTGTCAAGTTGGAACCAACCCATAGCTGGCCCTCCAGCAGGTTTTCAGAGACAGTTTAATTGCACACTAGGAAATTGCTCGTCCTTCTTCCACGGAGCAGCTGGTGGATTCGAACCACATACCTTTAGGATTGCAACACAACTTCTTACCACTAGGCCACCAGAGCTCTCTATAAAATAAATACAAAGGGAAGATAATAATATAAGCAATGTTGTTGTTATGTGCCGCGAGTCACTTGACTCATAACGAGCCTATCTACAAGAGCCCAAAACCCTGTTCTATCTTGTGCCAACCTTATTGTCTCTGACACACCTACCCCCATTACCCTAATTACTGAATCGATCCATCTCATGAAGGGTCTTCCTCTCCTGAGCCATCCCTCCACTCTCCTAAACATGATATCCCTCTCTAAGGACCTCCTTGCAGCATGCCCAAAGTATTTAAAACAAAGCTTCAGAATACTTGCCTCCAAGGAACAGCCTGGTTTCACCCTCTGCAGGACAAACCTATTTGTTCTCCTAGCAATCCATGGTATATTCAACACTCTCCTCCAGCACTACAGCTCAAAGGCATCAACTCTCCTTCTCTTCTCCTTGGTCATTGTCCAACTCTCTGATGCATAGCAAGCAATTGCTAAGATTATGGCCTGGATCAGATGCACCTTAGTCTCCAGACTGCTCTGGAGAGGTCCCTGACAGCTGACTTTCCCAATGCAATTCATCTCTTGATTTCCTGTGTTGCTGGTACCAAGAGTGTTGATTGTGGAGCCAGGCAGACTAAATCTCCTCACCATCTATAATGATGCTGCCACTTGGCCCAGTGGTGAGAATCTGTTTTCTTGATGTTGAGCTTCAGTCCATATTGAAGACTGCAGTTCTTGACCTGCAGCAAGTACTTCAGGTCCTCCTCTGTTTCAGCAAGCAGGGTTGTATCATCTGCATAACGCAGGTTGTTGATGAATCTTCTTCCAGTCATTGTGCCACATTCCTCCTCATACAGCCCAGCGTTCCGGATTATCTGTTCTGCATATGGATTGAAAAGATAAGGAGACAGAATACATCCCTGGCAGACACCGTTCCCGATTTTTAACCATGCAGTGTCTCCTTCCTCAGTTCTGACAACTACCTCTTGGTCCAAGTATAGGTTTCACATAAGCACACTCAAATGTTCTGGGATTCCCATTCTTCTCAGAGTCAGCCACATTTAAAAAATAAATAGAAAGGAGGGCTGAGAGTTGTGAGAGTTGAGATTGAGCAAGGACTTAACAGTAATTCTGGTTTTGAGCAGTGACTGGGAGTTTCGCTAATTGAATCTCTTCTGTTTTCCAGCGTGTCCGAAGTGGTGAGTGGAAGGGGTACACAGGCAAGCCCATTACAGATGTGATCAACATAGGCATCGGGGGCTCCGACCTGGTGAGGAGAAGCTTCTTAGTAATGGAGTCAGGGTGCTCCTGGTAGCCCCCTTTTCCTAGTAATGGAGTCAGGGTGCTCCTGGTAGCCCCCTTTTCCAGTCTCGTGGGCCCTGAGATCTTGTTTTCTGATTCTGTCTCCTCACAGGGACCCCTCATGGTGACTGAAGCCCTCAAGTCATACTCTGCAGGTGGTCCCCGAGTCTGGTTTGTCTCCAACATTGATGGGACCCACATTGCTAAAACCCTGGCCTCACTGAGCCCTGAGTCTTCACTGTTCATCATTGCCTCCAAGGTAGGAGCCCCAGACATAGCCTGGCTCCCCAGCCGTGTACTTGTGTTGGGGTACGGAGGGTGCTTAGCTTAAAGCGTCGGACTAGTACTTGTTGGAATGGACCATTGTTGGCAGCAAGTGGTTTATCTTAAAGCCGTGCCCACTCAAAGGATCTCCACTCAGCCCAAGACTGTCCCTAATATTTGTCCTGAGTTTTGTCCCTAATGTTTGTTTCTACCCTGGTAACATAGGCATTTTCTTCATTTGTATCAGTGGCCTATTTGTTTGTATTAATGTACGTAAAATAGTAAGAATTGTGAGATCCCAGCTACTCTGGGCTGAAGAGAGCTCCAGGCATGGCCACAACCCCTCTCCTGGAGGATGAGGAGTAGAGGTGAGATGCCACTCTTTCTAGTGTTCCCTTTAGTGCCTGTAGAGTCCTGTAATCACAGGATGGCTCTGCTGCTTCCATGCCTCTGCCTGGGCTCCCGAATGTGGAATATCTGACATTGACACATGCACTGTCCTTGTGTCACTGGCCCCACTGTGGCCTTGGGCTGCCCCTTGGCGAACACTTGCATGTGCACCTGAGCTTAGGGACCAACAGCTGTGTTCTCTGGCCCTGTAGACTTTTACGACCCAGGAGACCATCACTAATGCAGAGACGGCAAAGGAGTGGTTCCTCATGTCAGCAAAGGATGTGAGTGGGTGAAAGGGGTGGGCAGAGGGCAGCTTATGGGCTGGCATGACAAGGTGGGCCCAGTCACCCACCTGAAGGGCCCTGTTTCTGTAGAAGCTGGAAGCTGATGTCCTTTTGGATGCTGCCTTTTCTGGTTGCTTGTTCATCTTTCACTTTTCCAGTGTCCAGACATAGTTAATATCACAGAACCAGAGGCCCTGTCCTTGGAGTTGACCTTTAAGCTTCCTTGGCCCCCAGAATCCTCTCCCCCTGGCCATACCTGTTTTACAAATGACATTACTGGACTTTGTGAGGCTATATGGTGGAAAAAGCAGCTGACCTCTGCGAGACTCACCATGGGCCTCGGTTTCTTTGGTAGGGGGAGAATCCCTGCCCTTGGGTGGCCTCTCCAGGTTATCCTTTTGACGTGGCTCTGTTTCTTGCAGCCTTCTGCAGTCGCGAAGCACTTTGTTGCCCTGTCTACCAACACGGTGAGTGACTGTGTGGCTCCCATACATTTCTGGAAGGGGCTTGGCCATGTCAAGATGTCTTTCAGGATATGTTAACCAAGATGAGGTTCCTAGGTTCAGAAAGAGCGGGGTCTTGGTCCAGCTGAAAGTATAGGAGGATTGGTTGCCTGTGATTTGAGTTTTATATACCATCCTGGCTTATTCCTCATTTCTCCACCAAACCCCTTCAACCCTGATGAGGACCTTGTAGTCTGTGACATTATGTTAACCCTAACCATCTTCCAGGCTTAAGTGCTATTTAGAGCTGTCTACACTATGACGTCTTCTGGCTCCTGCCACTATCCCTTCTCCAGGTTGGGCATATCAAGGGTGGTGATGCATCCTTTAAGCCTCAGCAAAGGGAGGCAGTGTTTGGTTCAGTTGTGATGCTGGTGTTAGAACCCAGGACACACCTGCCAGCTCTTAGTCTGCGCTTCCAGTGAGACTGGCAGGAAACATTCCTGAGAGCTTATCATGTGGTGGGCATTGTGCTGAGCTGGGTCAGAGCTGGGAGCCGCATTCATGTCCCCATGACCATTCCTGCCATACCGTTCCTCACTGCCCCCTGCCTGAGTGTTGACTGGTCATGTGGAGAGACATGCTTTCAGGCTGTTTGACAAGAACATCGTTGTCTGCTTTCTGTGGACACTGGCCGGATAGGGTGGGGGGCTGCTTCTCCTGTGGGAGAAGGGAAGGGTATTGGTCTTTCTAAGGGACTCAGACATCTAGGTTGCAGTCGCCATCCTAGATACAACAAGGGTTGGGCGCATATCTTGCTGTGTCACCCTTCCCTTTGTTTGGGTTCGTGGAATCACGGGCCATTCCCAGTGTCCCTGACAAACTCAGGAAATGGTTCTTAAGAGAAGACAGTGTGAGCTGAGTCTTCACACACGGTGTGCATCCTCCCGCTTTAACGTTTGGCCTTCATGGGCCAATGGCATCTAGAGTACTTGGTGGGAGCTCCCTTATGTCCCGCTCTGGGGCTGGGCAGATCCTGTCGCATCCCAGCTCTGCCAGGGGCTCTGAGTAAGGCGAGGACCATGGGGATTTAGCCAGCACAGCTCCAGCCTCCTGGGGCGCCTGTTCTTGCCCATCTTTTCTTCTCCAGATATTAATGTGTCATTTCTTCTCTTCCTCTTTGCCCTTTTTCAGACCAAAGTGAAGGAGTTTGGAATTGACCCTCAAAATATGTTTGAGTTCTGGGATGTAAGTAAGGGCACTTCCTGGATTGGAGGAGTTATACACTTTGCTAAGTCATGACCCTGGCAGTTCTTTGAGCACTAACTGCAAGCCTGGCTTTGGGAAGGGAAACCCTCCTTACAAGCTTGTGGAGCAAGAATGGCCCAGTGAGGGTGAAGACTGGGCTTCTTGCCAAGAACCAAGTAGTTTTCCAGGCCAGGCTGACCCCTCACGGGGTTCCTGCCAACGAGGTTCCTGCCAATGGCTCCCTCTCTGGGGTAATTGAAGCCACTGCCCTGAGGCTGAGTTATTCTCAGTGATGACCTTTCTTTGTGCTGCAGTCGCAGTCTATAAAGGTCAGGGGGCTGGATGAGGCCAGAAGTGTAATGGGTTAGACCTGGAAAGGAGCTGCAGGAATGGAAATAGGAGGAGGTGGTAGGAAGTGACTGTTGTCCCTGCAGCAGGAGGACAGTGGTAGGAATTGACTGTGGTCCATGCAGCCTGCAGAACAGGCTTGCTGAGGACCTGGACCCGCTTCTGCAGGAGCTACAGCTGATGCCAGGCATTGGGCAGTAGCTTTCTGTGTGGCCTTGTCTGATTGCAGCAGTGACACCAAAGGCTTTTTTCCTACCAGAATCCGGTAGGAAAAGGCTCAGTGTTCTGAAGGATTCATGGTGTGTGTGAATCACTTACGGATCGGGCCACTTGTGCACCATCCTTGGAGAGTCGTTCAGTTCCTTTTTGCGTCCTGTGGTTCAGGTGGGAAACCTGGTTGAGAAAGATTGGCTTCTGACAGATGATTGATGCTTAATAACCAGGGGAAGGGGCTCTTCTCCCTGGGAACTGGAGCCTGAGCAGGTGGTTAGGATACTTGGGTTCCTTTATTGGCCACAGTCCAGTAGAGCAAGTCAGGGCTTTCCATCAGCATCAGAGATGACTTGTCATGTAGGGAAAGGAGTGGATCTCCCTCCTTCAGCCTACAAATGATGGTGAACATAGGAACATGGAGTCGGGATGGTTAGTGAGGACTGAGCAGCCAGGTTGAGCACAGGACAGCTCTTCTGGCCTGGGTTATACATGCCACAGTGACTGGAAGAGACACTTGTCTCAACTATTAGACATTGCTGAATCCAAAAGGCCAGTTCTGTGGATCGAACAGGAGAGGTGCCTGAAGCTGGGGTCTCTCAGGCCAGCTAATCAGGTAAAGCATAGGTCCTGGGGTGTTATTGGAAGAGGCCATCCTGCCAGAGGTATGCATAAAGGTAAGACTGGATTTGCTCAGGTGAGTTATGGGGGGCAGCTTCATGTGTCAGGCTCAGTCAAAATATAGCAGTGAGTTATAGAATCTGTCAGCACACACTGATGAGCTCATTTTACCTTGGTAAGTTCTGTGGAGGAGCCAGGACAGGCATAGGTGTGTTCTGAGGAGGATCTGAGACATGAGGTCTGTGAATTTTGAAGAAGAAAATTATTTTTTTATTATTTTTGTGTGAGTGTACCGTCAAATCAGATCTGACTGGTACAGGAGGAGATTGTCCCTCCTTCCCCAGCAGAGCATCTGGTGGATTCGAACCGTGCACCTCTGGGATTGTAGTTGCAGGTCCTTGCCACTAGGCCACCAGAGCTCCCCTATGGAGAAAATTATTTTAGAGGTGATTCTGTCAAGTAACTCAGGTGATGAGTAAGTAATCGTTTAAATGACATGTTTAGGGGAGCTCTGGTGGCCTAGTGGCAAGAAGCTGCACTGCAATCCCAGAGGAACACGGTTCAAATCCACCAGATGCTCTGCCGGAGAAGGAGGCGCAATATCCTCCTGTACCAGTCAGATCTGATTTGACGGTACACGCACAAAAAATTAAAAAAAAAAAAATGACATGTTTAGATCTCTGGATTATGCAGATATGGGTAGAGTACCCTGAATCAAGTCAGATATCCTGTTTTCTGCATTCCTATTGGATGTGATATACAGTGTTCAGGGGTATCACACAGGCCCAAGAATCCATGATTGTTCCAAGATGTAGTCTGTAGAATTGGAGAATGACTGCTTGAGGCAGGGTGAGAGGAGCCCAGATGAAGAATAGGATTGTAGTGGATTGTAAAAAGGAAAACTGGGGAGCTGGGGCAAATGAAGCAAACACTTAAGATTGAAGTGTTATATGGAGATGCATGTCGGCCAGGCAAGGGGCCCAGAGGCCAAGTCACTCAACACTTTTGGCACAGCTAGGCTCATACCTCATGCTATGAGATGCATGATTGTTTCTTTCATGTGTGAATTCAGAATCCGGAATCACAAAGGTGCATATAACTGGCTTTTAAGGTGAAGCCTGAGAAGGCAGAGTTAGGCCACTGGATGGAGCTGCAGACACACAGGTGGACTTGACAGGTGAGGACTGAAAATCCATGACTGGGTCAAAGTGATAGCAGAGCTGCTATGGAGATGGACAAGTTAGGCAGTGCTGTGATCCCCAAGAGAAAACTGAAATGAAAAGCTGGGGTCAGGCAAAGGCATATGAGAATGACATTCATGTGGAAGGTTCATGCTGCCGGGGAGTGGCAGAGATGAGAAGGTCTGTCAGGTGAGTTTGGAGGAGTTGAAAAGAGATGCAGGCTTATCTTTCTGGCTCTCAAAGGTAAGCTCTGAGCTGCCGAGTTCAGACCTGGGTTGTACTCTATGTCAGTTATGCCCAGGGGGTAGGGTGACGTTTGTCAGGTAAGACCTGTGTGACCCAAGGGTAAGCAAAGGTAGGGTGACCTGAGAAGCTGTGGCCAAGTTCCTCAGCCTGTGTCGTACAGCTGAGGTCAGGTACTGCTCAGTGGACGTTTACAGTGAGGCTGAAGAGCCAAGATTGAGCTTATCTAACAATTTGGTGTCTCTAATGACCTCTGGGAATGTGAAGTGAACACAGATGAGGAGAGCTAAGTTTCTCAGGTGAAATCTCGAAGTCAGGCATGGATAACAGTGAAAAGAGGTGGATTTCAAGGTGAAGTAAAAAGGGTTTGTGGATCTGGACATCTCCAGGGTGAGCTGTAAGGAATAGTCTCACACCAGAATGTTAGTGGGGCTTTCAGGTATGATTTACAAGGTGTCTCTGACTAGCACAGGTTTGTAACCTTGCGTCTTTGAGATGTGAAGAGGGTAAATTGGACAGGCACTTAGATACAGGAGGGTTTGTCAGGTAAGGTTTGTAGAGTCAGTATAAGGGTAGAGTCAGAACTGATTTCTGTCCTTGAGATGTAACAAAAGCCATGGCCATGTTAGAGTAAGTCAAGCCAACCAACAAGAATGATGGGTGAAGTGAGATACAGGTAGTAGACTGCCCACCAAGTATTGTCAGAAGGCCTGAGGAATTAAGAGTTGAAAATTAAGTAGAGCTGGCTCTTTGAGGAGATGCATTCAGGGAAAGGTAGGTTTCCCAGGGCCTCTGGTGAAGAACTAGGATTAAGTCCATGTGAGGCGAGTAGGCTCTTGGATCAGACTTGTCGTCCTTGTGTCTCATACACATGGGCAGAAGCCTTGTGGGTCTCTTACAGGTCTTGGGAGCCCAAGTGATTGAGACATGGCAGGTAGACATGATTCAAGCAAGGAGTTGGACTCTGGATTTTGAATGTTAGATGTGAGATTATGCTTTGCAGATGAGGAGGTAAACCTAAGGAAGTCTGTGCATGCCTTAGCTCCTGAGTCATCTGCCTGGTGTACACTTTGGATCTTGCAGGTTGTAGAACCTTGAGGCATTGTCTGACTCAGGTGAGTAGACCTGGATCTCAGAGGTGAGGTCCGAGGAACGTGCTTTGGTAGGTTTAGTAGACCCCATTTCTCTCAAGTGGAGTTTCTGGAGCACAGGGACAACTGAAGCCCATCATCCCCCACCCCTCCACCCCTGCCACGTGTAGTCAAGTTATGAGAAGCCTCAGTGTGGTTGTTGGCCCCAACTAAGCAGAGGTGGTTAGTGTTGGATCTGTGAGACACTATGATCAACTTGGATCTTGCAAGTTAGACCTGCGGGTCAGGTTCCTGTGAGTCAAACTGGATCTCTTTCAAGGAAAGTATAAAGGATACAAGTTTGGTATGTGGGTTTTTGTTTGTTTGTTTGTTTGTTTTTGTTTTTTAAAAATTATTGTGTGTGTGTACCGGCAAATCAGATTTGACAGGTACAGGAGGAGATTGCACCTCCTCCAGCAGAGCTTCTGGTGTATTTGTACCACACACCTCTGGAATTGCAGTGCAGCTTCTTGCCAGTAGGCCACCAGAACTCCCAAGGATCCAAGTTTGACTTGAGGAGATGGACCTGGCTCTCTTCATTTGAGGTGTGAGAAGTCAGGGACAAACAGGTGTCTGTCACAAAGGTGTAAGGTACTGCAGTTTCCATCTCAGAGAAGGTAGATGTGGGCACAGGTATGAAGTTCTGGATCTTTTTGTATCTAAGAACGAGGCATAGGCAAGAAGGGTGAGTTCTTCTGTGTCCATGGTCATGGTATCTGGCCCAGATATGAAGCCCAGGGTCTACCAGTCTAAAGAAACTTGGTCAGGAGACAGTGGGTCTGTCAGTTTGCAAGACTTTATAGGTGTGAAGTACTGGCTCTCTTGGTATGGGAGGGAGAGCCTGACCCAGGTCTGAGGTTCAGGCCTGAGAGTATTTGAGAAGCATCATGTACGAGGTCATGTAGAAGGAGGCAGGACCAGGTACAGGTATGAGTCAATGAGTTCTGGGTTTTTCAGCCCAAATATGTAAAATTAGGTGTGGCTGTGAGGCCCTGGGTGTGTCAGTTTCATGGAAGAAGGCACAGGTAAGAAGAAGTAGATCTGTCCACATCACCCAAAGGGATGGTTCTGACCATGGGAACATTGTGATTGAAGGTGAGGTAGGCCCAGGCCCACACAGCTGTACCTGTGAAAGCCAAGTGATGGGGGATGGGCAGGGCATGCCAGCCCCACAGCACCTTTTCCTGTCTCCCTCAGTGGGTAGGAGGACGGTACTCTCTGTGGTCAGCTATTGGACTCTCCATTGCCCTGCACATAGGTGAGTGTCTACCAGTGGTGGCCCCCTGGGTAAACAATGTTGCATTCTAAGGTCAAGAGTAGAGGTCTTATGTCCCCACTTTCCTGTCCCCAACCAGCTCCTCCCCTTTGGCTGACATATTTAAGACCAGAGGAAGGACCCAGGTTTTTATTTGGGTTTGTTGGCCTTTCTGTCTAACCCCACCACTGTAGTCCTGTTCATGTCCCTCCCGTGGTGCACCTAGATCTGCCTGTGCGCTCACAACCCCTCCAATAAGAGGCTTTCCTCAGCAAGCCCAGATCCTCCTGGGCCTTGTTTCTTCTGGCTGCATAGACAGCTGGCTGTGCCCATTGGTGTGAGGCCACAAAGCATGGCCATTTCTGTTGATGCTGATTTTGTGTCGCAGGCTTTGACAACTTTGAGCAGCTGCTGTCTGGGGCACACTGGATGGTGAGTGGGGGTGGGGTGTGTGTGTATGGTGAGTAGTATGTGTATGTCCCCATGCTTCTGAGAGAGAGTGTGTGTATGTGTTGTTCCAGTGCTGCTGCCAGAGTCATGTGTGTTGGGTGTGTGTATGTTCCAGTTCCCACCCTTCTTATGTCCCCAGTTGGGGGGTGCAGGGTGGGATGGGAGGGTGTAGTCCAGTTCCCACCCTCTTCCTTTTGTCTCCTGGAAGCTGCCCAACTCCTCACTCGGCTCTTGTTTCAGGACCAGCACTTCCGCACTGCGCCCCTGGAGAAGAATGCCCCTGTCTTGCTGGCTCTGCTGGGAATCTGGTACATCAACTGCTATGGCTGTGAGACTCAGGCTATGCTGCCCTATGATCAGTACCTCCACCGCTTTGCTGCCTACTTCCAGCAGGTACCAGCTGCCAGACCTAGACCTCGGGATTAACAGAGCCTGTGGGAGCCTCGGGGCCCATGAGCCCAGGCTACTGCTCTTGCTCCTTCTGGAACCATAGCTCACCTCTGTTCCCCACCTCACAGTGAATCATCGTAAACAGCATGTGTTTCTAGATTATGGCACTTCTTTGGACCACCTGGACCTCTGCCCCTGGAAAAAGAGCAAGGGCCGCATGGGGAGAACTGTCTCCATCAGCAACACAAAACCAGTTCCTATGAGTTAAGACATGTCCCCCATGCTTCCACACCTCTTTCTATTCATCCCAACACCAATCTTACTGCTTTATTGGTTTCACAGTCCAATGTAATAGCACACAGAACCATATGAGGGAAGTAAATCTAATTCAGCTTAGTAGCAGAATACAGTCAGGACAGCTTCCGAAATGTGCTTGCAGGCACTTTAGCCCTTAGGCCAGTGTCACAAAGCTCTCAATTCTGCTAAGTATGCTTTCCCCGCCTCAGGTTGTCCCCAAATTTGAGCAAAGGCTTCCAGCTCTGGCTCCATGGGGTAGCTGTCCCGAGGCCCTCTTGTCTCATGTCAGGTCTCTGATTCTCTCCTGCGGCTGCTGTGACTGTTCCCTCCATAGGCCATGGTCTACTGACACAAGAATCTCTGACGCTAAACAACTTTTTTGCTTTTTTGTTGGTGGTGAGGTTCTTTAATTCTACTCCTGGATCCACTCAATTTAATGGCATAAATAATGTGAATAATGTGTCCTATTCACATATTCCCTCTATCCACATGGCAAAGACAGTCATTGCCTAGGAAGCCATTTGGGACAATAAACCCTTAACGCTGCAGCCCCTCTTGGACTTTCACAGCCGAGAGGCCAGGTAGGGTCTCGCCTGTCCCTCTCCCCCATCCCTGATAGAAACCCAGTCCCTGTAGGTACCACAGAGCTTTAGCATTACTCAAAGGCAAGTCTTGTCTCTGACAGACAGGCCAAGGCTCCCTGAGTCCAATATGTCCTCAAGAGAGTCCAAGTATGTACCCACTATCTAGTTAGGATGACAGCCTTCAAAGACTTTGTGACCAAATCATTTTATCAGGCCCTAAAGGAGAATCCTAGGATCTCTGGTGGTACAGTGGTTTAAGTGTTGGGCTGCTAACCAAAAAGTGGTTCAGCCACTCCATGGGGAAGATAAGGCGGTGTGTCCATATTCAAATTTACAGCCTCAGAAAACTGATGGGGCAGTCCTCCTTCAGTCCTTATAGGTTCCCTAGAAATCTGAATCAGCTCAATGGCAGTGAATTTCGTTTGATGAGAGGTAGATCCATTTCCTTGCTCATCCTGGTCGTTTGCATCATTCTTTTCCATGTGGTTATATCCATGTGGTCGTAGTACTGTGCTGATGTTTCCTTGGCAGCTATCAGTGCCCTGAGCTTTTAGAGGCCTCTAATATTCCTTATCTTTGGAGAAGCCCTCCTCCAGCCATACTTATCTGTCATCTCTTGACAGTGAGCCCTTCCTTCAGAAGGAGCTAAGCCAGAAAGTTTGTTGGACTGAGAGATGGGGATCATGCCTGTAGATCCACATGTACATATCATAGGACCAGGTTGGCAGGCCTGATGCATCCCAGGCAGGGCTTCTCAGGGTGTACATGGAGGGACCAGACTTGCAGTTAGGGGCCTGGGTTTTTGTACCCATTCCAGGGAGACATGGAATCAAATGGGAAGTACATTACCAAGTCCGGCGTCCGTGTGGACCACCAGACGGGCCCCATCTTGTGGGGGGAGCCAGGGACCAATGGCCAGCATGCCTTCTACCAGCTTATCCACCAAGGTAAGATCCCTCCAGCTTGGGTTGAGCTTACCAGCATAGACTTCTCAAGTCTACATTGACCTGTAGACCACGTCCCAAGTGACCACAGTGCTCTTCACAGGCACCAGGATGATACCTTGTGACTTCCTTATCCCAGTCCAGACCCAGCACCCTATACGGAATGGGTTGCATCACAAGGTAAGAGCCCCTGTTTGGATCCTCCTCTCATCCTCTTAGGCTCATATTCCTCTGAATCTAATGAAAAGCCTGATGCATTGGCCTCCAGCTGTTTTAATTTTGCTGTTGCTACTGTACCAAATTGCCAGAGGCTTGCTAACTACAGACAGCTCCCATTTACTAGCTCTCAATTTCATTTGCTCAGGAGTCCAGCAGGCTCTGTTGGTTTCTCTGTTCAGAGACTGAAATGAAAGTGTCAGCAGGACTGGGTCCATTTCTGGAGGTTTTGGGAGAGAATCTGTTTCCTTATTCATTCAGGTTATTGGCAGAATTGCTTTCCATGTGGTTATAGGATCAAGTGAGAAATCCTGTGGCTTGAATCAGGTAGACCTTTGCCCTCTAAGTGATATCTCTAACAGCCTCTGCTGCATATATGCTCAGTGCAAACACATGGCTTGATTATTGATAGCTGCTTCCTTGGGCTCTTATTGTGGATCCAAGTAAAATTAAATCCTTGACAGTTTCCAATTTTTCTCCATTTACCATGCTGCTGTTTGTTGATTCATTTATGGGGACTTGTATGTTGAAATGCAATCTATACTGAAGGCTGTAGATTTTATTTTAATCAGTTAAGTGCTTTAAATCCTGTTAGCTTTGAGCAAGGCTGAATCTTCAGCATATCTTGGCTTATTAATGAGTCTTCCTCCCATCTTGAGGCCATGCTTTTATTCATATAGTCCCATTTCTTGGATTATGTGTCCACTATACAGATTGAGAGGAAGACCCTCAATCAGATGGATTGACATAGTGACAATTCATAAGGGCATTGTGCTCTTGTATGTCAGAAAGTGTAAGGTTGATGCAGGATAGAACAAGGTTCAGGTCTTTGGTTCATAGGATCACTGAGTCATGCTGACTTGATGGCACCTAACAACAACATACAGATTGAACACATCTAGTGAAAAGATACACCCTGATGACCACCTTTCTAAATTTAAACCATGCAGTATCCCCTTGTTTTATGCAGATGACTACCTATTGTTCTTTAAATTCTCCACTTTGAGCCAAGATCCATATGACACCAGCAGTGATAATCATTTATTCCATGTGCTGCTTGTGAATGCAGCTTGAACTTATAGAAGTTCTCTGTCAGTGTACTGTTGTATTAATTTTCTAATAATCTTTAAGATTTTATTTACATGTGTTCTATAAAATTAACATTGTAGAGAAAAAGATTAATGACATTGTTGGAGATAAGCTTTCTTTGAAATGGTCACAAGTATGAATTTATTCTAGTTGATTGGCCAGACCTTTTTTGGCATGAAAAGTGAACAGTTGCATTCATTTGCTGAAACATTTTAGTTAATAATCCATAAATTCCTGGTGCTTTGTTTTCACCAAAGTGCCTGCCTTTAGTACAACTGGATCTTCTTTCAGTACTACTGATTGTTTATCATATGCTGCCTTGCTGAAATGATTCAACATCATCCATTTCTTTTTGGTACAGTGAAGCTTTGATCTTGTTTTGATGCTTTCTGTGTCATTCAATATTCTACGTATATAATTGTAACTCAAAGTTTGAGCAGTGCTTGGTGACCTTGCCTCTTTCTCTGAGGTACAACACAGTACATCAAATATTATTGTTTGTCTCTTGTCAGATCCTTCTGGCCAACTTCTTAGCCCAGACTGAGGCCCTGATGAAGGGGAAGACAAAAGAGGAGGCCCGGAAAGAGCTCCAGGCGACAGGAAAGAGTCCAGAGGAATTAGAAAAGCTGCTGCCACACAAGGTCAGCACCCTTCCGAGAGTGGGCATGGTAGCATGCATGGGAGAAGCTGTGGGGTCAAGGCAGAGACTTCTGATAGGACTAACTTGTCCTGCACAGTTGAATTATCTGTTCTCACAGACACTTACAGCCTCTCAGGGAGAGTGGAATAAATAACTGGGAACATCTCTTTGCTGTGTTCTGAAGGTCTTTGAAGGAAATCGCCCAACCAATTCCATTGTATTCACCAAGCTTACGCCATTTATTCTTGGAGCCTTGATTGGTGAGTATTGGAAGACACCAGTTAAGGATGCATTGGACTGAGCTGGTAGAACCTTAATTCACACCATTTGTCATCTCTGTAGCCATGTATGAGCATAAGATCTTCATTCAGGGAGTCATCTGGGACATTAACAGCTTCGACCAGTGGGGGTAAGTGACTGACTCCACAGAGTGGGCAGCGAATGCCTTGTGGATTCACTAATAACAACAGAACTTTCCTCATTATGGCCTTCCTCCTATTTCTGGCAGAGTGGAGCTAGGCAAGCAGCTGGCTAAGAAAATTGAACCTGAACTTGAGGGCACCAACCCAGTGACCTCTCATGATTCTTCCACCAATGGGCTGATCAACTTCATCAAGCAACAACAGAAAGCGTGAACCCAGAAGCTAATAAAGTCATGCGCAGCACCAAACCCCCATTGTGACTGGTCCTTCTTGTCCTTACTGCCAGTCTGCACTGCATGGTCCCACTCCACCCTGCCTAGAGCACCTTTGGGTTGTGGACTTGGACCAAAAGTCCCTCAGGGGAAGCTGTTCTGGACTCGCCACACCCTGTCTCTCAGTGTCCACCAGCCCCTCTGTGTTGCTGGTTTACTGGAATGTTTCAGTGCACCTGGTTTTCAGACCCATGTTTACACTGTTCACATCCCAGGTAGAAAAATAAAAGTATCACAAAGGAGACCATGGTTCCAATTTTGGTTTTGTTGGGGTTTTTTTGGTGTGTGTGTGTGTGTGTGTGTGTGTTTAATTGAAATGGTTCTCTACACAGAAGAGTGTCTTGTTAGGGGAATACACATTGCCAGCATTTTCATCCTTTATAATGATGAAGTAGGTTGTGTTTTTTTGTTTTTAGAAAACATTTATACTGAGATGTGTACATCCAACTAATTTTTTTTTTAAGTTTTTTTTTGGGGGGGGTAGGAGATTTCTCAGAATGAATGCCTCCTTTTCTCATCACCTTTGTAGAAATTATAGAAATGCTTTACCAGTTAAGTCCCATTTGAGGCCCATTTCTTACTGCATGAAAACCTCTGACAGAAGAAAATTCAAGGTTGCAGGTCTTTAGATAACTTTGACTTTTCCTGTAGGATCTCCTAGTAATGGGATTGTTGTGCTCTCCCAGGGCCAACTGCCAAGTCTCATATCTTGAGGAGGTACCAGTACATGTCAATTAACTGTTAATCCCTTGAAATAAAACACCTCAAATTTGATGCTGTTGAGTCAGAACCAACTTCTATCTCACCCTCCAGTAGGTCTTTGAATGTTGTGAGTTGGATGAGAGGAGGTTCCCTATCTTTCTCCCTCAAAGCTGATGGATTCCAACTGCCATAGTTACCACCTATGAATTAACAGTCTAACATCCTATGGACTCTGCCACCAGAGCTCCTTACCCATACATTCTTTACCCTGTGTAAGTTTCCTTCTGTTCTTCATCATTGCCTCCCTTTACTGCTTCCACTAGTCCCATGTAAGTCTTGAATATGTGTATCTTCATTGTATGACTGAAGCCATTTTCAACATGTTCATTCTGTACTGCCTCAAATGGTGATTGTATCACAACCAACTTGATCTCAACTGAGTCCATGAGGGCCCAGAAGGGAAGAAGAAATGTATTAAAGGGAACTAAAGGAAGGGAAATTTTTGTATACAATAGCAACATACATGTTCTGTGGGGAGTTTGCCAGGAGGTCCAGACTCTACAAAATTATTAACTAAAACAGATAAACCAGGTCTTACACATTACCTTGTTCCAGGGACTCCACAAAAATGTGTTGGCAAATGTCTTCGTTATCTACTGCTATAATAGAAATACAAGTGGATACATAACAAATTTATCTTCTCAGCAGATCAAGAGGCTAGAAGTCAAATTCTGAGCACAAGGTTTAGGAAAAAAACTTTCTCTAAAGTCAGCTTGCAGTTTACAAAAAAGATCTTTGTCTCAGCATGTGTGTGTCCAGCATTTCTTGGTGATCTTCATGTGTCTTCACCTGGGTCTAGGAGGTTCTCAACACAGAGACTCTGGGCTCCTTTCCACTTCTGTCTCCTCTTTCTTGGTGGAGGTCAGGTCCCTCTGCTCACTTCTTTCTCCTTTTATGTCTTGTAAGATGAAAGATGATGGAGGTCACATCCCAGGGAAACTATTGCATCAGGGCTGTGACCTGAGTCAGAAGTTGAATCTCACCATAATCCTCTTGAAGCTGACTGTCTTATCAGATCACATTATGAAGGCTGATTACATCATTATATAGCTGCTAAATTACATCAACTGCCAAACCACTTAAGATCATGGTCATGTATTTTGTGGGGGACACACTTCAATTCATTACAGCAAGTTTGATGTTACATTGCCTCCTGGATCCCAGTTTGGTATGTTCATTGACATATGCAGTAGCAGCAATTAACATCTTGAAAATTTGCCCTAAATAATTACCTGATGGTAAGGAGTTGTGCTGCCAATCCAAAGGCATGCAGTTCAAATCCACCAGCTGGTTCATAGAAGAAAGACAGTCTTCCTGTGTGACTTTCAGCCTCTGAGTTGGTTCCAACACAGTATTTAACAATAACCTAATGCTGCAATCACCTCTTGATGAAGAGGCTGTAATAGGTAGTGTTATATCTACAGGTGATAAATGTTAGAAAAGTTCCACAATGGTTGATAACTTTCTGTTACCAACAGTAATAAAAATTTTGGAATCTGTTAATTGCAGTAATTTCAAATATGCCTTGAAAATTATTAGCATACATCAAGTCATCGAGCCTCCTACCTCCTTGAAGTAAACACAAGCCAGACTACCAAGGCCTTTTAAAGCTATCAGTCCTGCAAGAAGATAAACCAGTTAGTAAACTGATTTCACAGGTCTTTTTTGGCCTTGGAACCAAGCATTATGAATTAACGTACCTTTTCTGAAGTGTGTATCTTTGAAAACAAATTTCCTTTATGCCATGGTGTATGTATTTTAAAAGTATTCTTAAAGCCAAATAAATTTAATTAATAAAAAAGGCCTACTTTAAGCATTATGATCTTTTAAGAACAATATGGGGTCAAATTGACAACAGCAACAGCCAGAATAGAAGGTGTTTTGTTGTTGGTTTTTGGTTTTTTTTTATGATCAGTAGTTTTTAGCAATCAGACAAGTGTGTATGCGCACAATTGAAAAACATTGCATTTTCAACACCTCAATGAAGTTCCCGGGATGCCTTTGTGGTAGATCCCTACCTCTAAACCATTGACTGATTTTCTCAAGCTTTGCCTTTTCCAAAAAGTAGCCTTTCCGGTTTTTCCCTTCTTTCCTATATCACTTTTGATATGCTACAGGCATTCGAAAACTTTATTATGGGAAAATTTCAACATATAAAAGTGAAATAGAAAAAAAAAAGTGAAATAGTTCACTGGCATCCCTTACCCCTGGTCAAGTGTCCTACACTTAGTTTCAGCAGTCATAGTCCTTCCTGGTCATGATGCTATTTTGTCTCAACCTCCTCCCAATATTTTGGCAAATCCCCAATATTTCATCTCTAAAGGTTTATTTCCTCTTTATTTTTTTCCCCCTGTTCCTAAGAAAATGTACACAGAAAAACCTACAACTCAGTAATTCCTACATTGATCCTTGGCTGCTCCTTGGAGCAAGGATTCTGGGGCTTCATCTGACATACTTTGGACATGTTGTAAGGAGGGACAGGTCCTTGGAGAGGGACGGGGCAAGAGGGGAAGGCCCTCTATGAGATGGATTGATTTAGTGACTGGGGTAATCGGAATGGGTGCGTCAGAGGCAGTGCGATTGGCACAGGATAGAGCAGGGTTTAGGGCTGTTGTACACAGAGTTGCAAGCAGCTCAACGGCACATAACAACAACAACACAATTGATCATATTCTTCATTCTTACCCTTTTTCAGAATTGTTCCTGGTAACAAGGTCACTGCACCTTAGGATTCTTGATTTCATGCCATAGAGTTCTTAAAAGAGTAAATGCTCAAAGCAGGCTTTTCTTTAAACTTAATTTGTTTTGAAGATTACTTCAGGGGATGGTTTAAAGATTTTCTCAGGGCAATAATTTCAGGAGTTAATCCACCCTCCATGACTTCCAAAACTTTAGAGCACCAAGTTGTCATGTACATTTGAGTCAGAATGACTCATAGCTGACATTCCAGCAGGTTTTCAGAGGCTGTAAATAGAATGGGAGGTGACTGCTCATCTTTTTCTTGCCAGAGCACCAATTAGATTCAAACCATGTACCTCTGGTTTGGCAGTGCAAAATACCTTACCACTTAGTCATCAAGGTCCAAGATAATTTGAAATTTTGTTCTGTATTTTCCCTTTTTGATCAGCATTCCTGTATGGAAACTATCAAACTATTAAAAAATGATAGTCAAGCCAGTAAATCCTGGTCTTACGGCAAAGGAGGCAACTGTTTGTGAAAGCAATTAACCACACTCTCCATAACCTCCCGTTTTTGACACTCCTTCCTCTGATTTTTTCCAAGTGAATAGAGACTAATTGTTGAACCTTGAATGACAGTTTTATGTCTCAGGCACTATGCAGTACAACAAAAGCCAGAAACACATATTATCTGGGATGTCCCATGTAACCATGACTCTCACTCAACCTCTAAACCAAAGAATCAAATCCCAAGGTATTTGATTTTGCTTAAGCAGCCTTGTCTGTAACCACTAAAAAGGCTGCTTTTTAAAAAACCCAAAACTAAAAAGCTGAGTAAGTTATTATCAATACTTTAGGGGAAGGAGAAAATGAAAATTAATAGATACTAGTTATATATATGAGTGAAGAGAATGGTAATATTATATTTATATGTGTGCATATATGTTCTGATAGACTACAGTGAATTACTTATTATCACTTTTTTAGTCCTTAGTCAGTAGCCTACCATGTGACCTAATTCACAGGTTTCTACAGCCCTGTGAGCTAGCAGCCTCTTGATTTGTCAGCGACTGTAACAGTGTGAGTTAGGAGACTATATGTGACTCACGAATTTGGAACTTGACAGTATCCATAAATGCAGGAGGAGTAATTGATACTAGTGATGATGTATGAGGATGATGGTGTGAATTTAGCAGTTTGGAAAAGTTGGGCATCTGGGACATCTTTAGTTTGCACTTCATAGAAACCAGATTTAGGCTAATCATTATAAAAGAAATCATTCATACAAATATGTGTGTATATATTTTTGAATTTTGAGTATTACCAGAATGTACTGGAAGGTGAGTGTACCTATTCGGAGAGGGCCAGGGCCTCACAAAGGCCATCACTCCCTCAACCATATAGAGTTTCTGATGCCAAGTGTTAAGCAGGAAAGATATAATTTCTTTTTCTTTTTTTCTTTCTTGTGTGTACCATCAAATCAGACCCAACTGGCTTAGGAGGAGATTGACCCTCCTT